CAAATTTTTTATCAATCTACTATTCGAGAATACGTTCTTCAAAAATAATGTGGATCAAACACACCCTTAGTAAAAATATATGACGAGGGGACATAACTATGTCCACTTTCCTGTTTTTTGTTTTGTTGTATCATGACTTTTGACTGAAGTAACTAGAGCACTAAAATCAAGGCAATATTAATCGGTAAAGAAATGTAGCAGTCCATGTACAATATATAGCATAGTCTCAATATACGTATTATATAATTTGCATGTTAAAATCAGTCTTGCTTATATATTTGACATTTGATTGTTACAGATTTGATAGGGACTTGAGCTGGAGAACTGGGATGAAACTACTTCCTGTTGCCTGCGAAAGCTCGAATAATTTCAAAATTACGATACAAGCACTAGAGGAGGCATATGAGAATGCCCAAAAAGCCAACATCAAAGTGAAAGGCATCATTATAGCAAACCCATCAAATCCCTTAGGAACCACCATGGACAGGGACACACTGAGAAGCCTAGTAACATTCATAAATGAAAAGAAAATTCATCTGGTGTGTGATGAAATATATGCAGCCACAATTTTCCGAGCTCCGAATTTCGTTAGTGTCTCTGAAATTGTTGAAGAGGTTGAATGCAATCGCGATTTAATTCACATTGTCTATAGTTTGTCGAAGGACATGGGCCTTCCCGGGTTCAGGGTGGGGATAGTGTACTCATACAATGATACAGTTGTGAATTGTGGGCGAAAAATGTCGAGCTTTGGATTAGTCTCATCCCAAACACAACATCTGCTAGCATCAATGTTGGCAGACGAGGAATTCGTTGAAATGTTTTTAGCAGAAAGCTCGAGAAGGCTTGGAAACAGGCACAAGATCTTTACCATGGGACTTGAAGAAGTTGGAATAAAATGCTTAGAAAGCAATGCTGGCCTTTTCTGCTGGATGGATTTGCGTNGGAATCAGGCACAAGATCTTTACCATGGGACTTGAAGAAGTTGGAATAAAATGCTTAGAAAGCAATGCTGGCCGTTTCTGCTGGATGGATTTGCGGCCGTTTCTCAGTGAGCCTACATTTGAAGGTGAAATGGCACTATGGAGAGTAATAATCAACGACGTAAAGCTCAATGTCTCTCCAGGATCATCGTTTCATTGTGTAGAGCCAGGGTGGTTTAGGGTTTGCTTTGCAAATATGGATGATGAGACAATGGAAATTGCTCTTCAAAGAATTCGAACGTTTGTGGGAGAAAGAAAGGAACTAGAAACTCAGGAAAAGAATAAGCGATATAAGAAGACTCTCAGGCTTAGCTTTTCTTCCAGAATCTATGATGAAACTGTGTTGTCACCTCACTCTCCGATTCCTCATTCACCCCTTGTTAGTGCCAGGACTTGAGTTTCTTACGAGATTCACAACTTTTTTTCCTTCATTATATATATATTTGAAGGTTAACGTGTTTTTTTGTAACAGAAAAGATTAACTTTTCATGTTACATATAGGTGTTTGAATTGTGTGGACTTGTTATAGTAGTACAATGTAGTAACTTGACATATTTTATAGTAATAATCAATGATATTTGTGTGTGATGTGAAAACCATGTAAAAGGTGTGTACGGAAATGAAAGTTTT